TAGTAAAAAGGACTTGCTATACTTTGCGAATCAATAAGCCATCATCATGGACATCATCTATATATACTTCAATTCGTGTTTGATACGTTTATAGGTTAGGGAGGCGAGGTCAGTCTTCTCTCAAGAATAAACTCAGTCTATTATTTTATTCATTTTTATCTGTGTGAAAATGTGTTGATTATACTTCGTATAAAGGATTTTTATAACTTTTTTTTATAATGATTTTTGAATAGTCTAAGTGTAAGTGTTACTTTTTTTTCTTTTCTTGGACGGCATCAATTGAGATTTTGGAATATAATGTGACATGAACAAGTATGGTAGCTAGATTTTGATTCTTGAGAGCCTCTATCAAGAGGACCATTAGATGTTAGTAGAAATTAGGCGTGTATTTTTGGTAATTCTTTTTCTGATCTTTTTCCATTAGACTCAATTGAATATATGTACTATCAATTGAAACTTATTTTTGCCGTTCAACTCTTATTTCGTGTAAAGAGAGAGGCAGAGGGCATGTCGTAATCTAGCTCCAAGTTCCTTTATTCTAAAAGTTATTTTAGTCATTCATTTTTCCTAAAAAATAAAGTCATATATACATACATAATCTATGCTGCATGGAGGAAATGTGGTGAGATGATGATATAAACATCTAACAATGCTTGAACTACTAGCAAAAATTTGGTCTAATGACTTGGTTGAAGGTCACGAAATCAAATCTTACTATAAACTTCTGGTGTGGTGATGTCAAGATCTCTTATCGATTTCTCCTCATCCTTAGTGAAGCTAACTTCTCCATACCCCACAAAAAAAATGTGCAATGATGCATACAGGATTCAATCTCAACTAAACTAGTTGTCATCTACGAAGTATAACTAACTAATTAACTATAATGTGTTTCGGTGAATAAAGTAATGCGATCTTTGTACCTCAATAGTAAGTATTCGCCCTCAAAAAAAAATTAAAAAAAAATAAGAAGAAGAAAAAAGTATTCATGTTCTGAGATAGGGGTGAGCAAAAATTCAGGGTACCCTGATATGGAACCGGAACCTGTTCGGAACCGCAGGTTCCAAACCCGGAACCTGTTGATCAGGTTCCGGTTCCGGGTAATAAAATTAGGAACCGGTTGCAACAGGTTCCGGTTCCGGGTAATAAAATTTTGGATCTAGAACCTGTAGGGTACCCTGTTAGTACAGGTTCCCTATAGGGTACATGAAACCGGAACCTATATGGTATTAAAAATTCTAGACAATTAGTGTTGGTTTGTTATATTTGAAGTACTATACTAAAGTTGTAAGCTTTTATTGTGATCATCTATTTAAAAAAAAAAAAAATTGTCACAATTTATCAAGTAACTATTAAACTTACTTTGACAGACAGGGTACCCTTTTTAGGAATCGGAACCTGCAGGTTCCGGTTCCGGTTCTCAATTATTAGGAACCTGTTGCAACAGGTTCCGGTTCCGGTTTCTATTTTTAGTAACCTGTTGCAACAGGTTCCGGTTCCGGATCCTGATATTTTTACAGGGTACCCTGCTACGCTCACCCCTATTCTGAGATATATAGGCCAGAACTTAGCTAGATATTGGACTTATGATCGATTGATTGGGCCAGTGTAACGGATAGTACATATGATTATATGTCCAACTATATTCTTTGGCATCATTAGGTGGGCTTGGCACAGTGGCCCGAGAGATTGACAATCACAAAAAAAAAAAAAAAAAAAAAAAAAAAAAAAAAAAAAAAAAAAAAAACTAGTATTTCGCAAATTCCTCCATTTCTTTATGCTGTTTTGGTTTGAGATAGATCTATAATATTACGAAGTACACTACAAATAACCTCCTAGTACTTTGCACCCAACGAACTCAAATTTAAAAACAATCATTAAAATAAAAATAAATTGTTCATGGATGTACTAAATATCCGGGTGCATATAACACTCTCTCGAATGTACTGCTTATTTCATATGTTGATGTTCCAACTTCCAACCATAAGCAAATCTCATTGACTCAACATCATTAATGCCTAATGTTATTGAGAATTAGAATCTGACTATTTTGATGTTCAGGTTAATCAGCCAACCGTATATACAAAATATGTGATTATTTAATGTAGTATTGTGATAGAGTTCAACCATCAGTTTAAGTTTTTGGTTGAGTTAGTCTTTTAACATGGTATCAGAGCCAGCATGACACAAAAGTCACATGTTTGAATCTCATCAACCCCTCCATTTAAAGTGGTAAATTAAGCGTTGGGTATGATGAGACCCATGTTGCATCCATACTTTAATCCTAATTGGCTTTTATTGTGATATAGTATATAGACCGATCCTTTACTTCAACCATAAAGCTTTGATTAACTTGGTCTTTTAACATATTGTGTACTCGTACCATTTTAACAATTTTACAAGATCAATTTGTACTGTCCAAGTTTGCTGAAGTTGAGATATACATATGATAAAATACTTGACATAACTCAATTATTGAGAGCATATATGGCATAATAAGTGTCATAACAATAAGTAATAATCTTAACAATTCTAGAAATGAATTTGTAACAACTTTGATGAAAGTTGTAACGCATGAAGTACCATTACTTATGAAGTTATGAGACATAATTTAAGTCTATGATTGAAAGCATGTTGTATAAATTAATGGTGATGAAAATTGAAAGCCACTACTATTTGTTTGTCAAATTTAAATGAAATCATTGTAGTACTATATAGTAGGACATTTATAATATTAGGTCAAGTCACTAGCTCACTAGCATTCATATATATAGCGTGACAACACAAACAAAATGGTTGGTTCAAGACCTTCAAGTCATTTTCTTGTAAATATTTTCTTGTAAATAAGAGCTCATTCATAGATTTAAAAGGCCAAAATTTTGAACTACTAAAAATAGGTTCCCTTTTTCTAAGGGCATCTTTATTTAAACAGGAAGGAACAGAAAGGATTGAAGGATAAAATTATTCAAAAGTTTTAGAATTAAAAAAAAAAAAAAAAAAATTATTGTATTTTATTTGGCAAAGTGGAATAAATCCAGGAGTTATAATTTGTTATTTTGGTACCATTTATCCATCCTTATTAAGCATATATATCTATTATTCCCCCCATTAAGGGTTGATATCTTTTTATCCTACTCAATTTTTCTCATAGGAATATGAAATATTTGTCGTGCTCAAGCTAAAATTTACGTTTTTTGTTATCTATAATTTTCTAAAAAATATATGTAATAAAACAATATTAATGTAAATGTTTAGCATTATATTGATTCATTTTGTTAATAATAATAAATTAATAATAATAGTACTAATAAAAATAATAATAGTAATAACAATAATGTTTCTTTTGTGGACTATTGTGCACGACGACTAAGCTATTTTAATCTATGTGTTATGGTGGGAGAATAAGGTCTAGCCGTCTAGTAATATATATTGACAACTTTTTTTTCACTTGCATGGCTGCATTCAATAGTTATAAAACCAATTCAAACTTTTTTTTTTATATATATAAGCAATTTGAACCATTTTAATAATACATTCATTTAGTCATGAATTTAAATCATTCAATTTGAAAATTACATTCATTTTAGTCTTATAGACCTTGCAACCAGGATTATTGGTCAATACACGTATTAACCAAAAAATAACTCTCTTCACAACAACATGAATTACCAACAAATATTTAACCATGCAAAGAACATTCTCAAATCTCAATTAACACAAAATAAGCTTTCCCACTTAATAACTCCTCCCATTCTCCCAATATATGTATGTATGTATATTGTATTTGCATGCCTAGACGACATATCCTGAGCGACACAATAAACGTCAATTAATCATGCATGTTGTGATCAATACTAACCTAATTTAGAGCTACCAAAGAGATAACAACAATTTAAAGCACATTTTTAATTTCATGCATTGATACGTTGTCATAAACTTGTACGTGTTGGTTGAGTTAATCAACTAAGGAATTTGTACTAGCTCTGTTTACAACAATTTGATGTTTGATGAAATCAACTCTTGGTTGTTAATTAGGTGTTAATTTGCATGCAACAAACAGCCAACTATTCATTAAATGAAATAACTTTCAACAAACATATATACTTCGTATATTTTTTTACAAGTGTTTAACTACATGAATAAGCTAAAAGTAAGAATTCAATCACAACTAACGCAGGCTTTGCTATCATTTACCAATTAAGCAGCGAATTGAAGGAAAGAACTATTAGCAATCTACCGAATGTAAGATAATGTCATTATTAAAGTAAATATTTTTGCTCAAAGAGTTTCATTTTAAAAAAAGAAAACCTATTGTATTACAATCTCTTGGTAGTTGATCAATTAGAATTCTAGACCACTAAAAAAAAAGAATAAATAAATAAATAAATAATCATAAAATATTGAGCTTTTAGATGGTGTTGAGTCTGTTGACAATAGAGAAGTGGTCGGTTATATGTTGCGTTGCAATTCGAAATGTTACAAACCAAAGCAACAAAATGTAAGATGCAAATAAAGCTAAATAAAAACTTATCAATGGCATGCAGTATAATGTCAACTAGTGGATCATGATTTATGGAGTTTCATTAGTGCAGTTAAGATTGAAAAGAGATTACCTAAACTAAACAAGCTTAAGTATAACGTACCATTATGAGATGAAAAAATTTCTATTTTTTTGGGTTGGTTTGAAAAATACTTCTACCATCCTTGATTAATTGCCCACGAGTCATTTTTACTTTGTTAAGTTTTGATTGGGTGAAGTTGATGAGAAAGAAAATTGGTGAGACTAATGTGATACTGAGGTAAAAGTTGCTCTTTATATATAATTATGGACTTATGGTATTGGTCAATATCATAGATTAGCTCATTAGCATGCATAATAAATTAATTTTTGCTTTTGGTAGTGTCAAATACTTATCAACCCCACACTTCTCATTGTATTCGCAGACAATATACAAATTTTTTTAATCAACCCATTGTCAAAATTAGACTTCAATTTGCATAACACATGAGACTAATTGGTACTCAGATCACAACTACTTCCGAAACTCTTTAGTCATTAGCTTACATCAACTGTTAACATAATATCCTGCTTATATAAATCAGTACTAATTGTTTGATGTTCGGATGAACGTCGTCTCAAAAGTTACATTATTCGGTGATCTTGAAATAACAATGGGATCTCTTCAACTGTCACTGACAAAGTAACAAAACTGAATGATAAATTGGCTGGTCATAATCTGAAACCAACCTAAAACTCAGTCAATATTCGAAGTGTAAAATAAACACCAGTTTCTACAACTCTTCAATTTTATGCTAACGGATCGTCCTACTATTCGATAAGCAAAAATGCTTCATGTCACTAAGGCAGGCACATTGCAAGGTCCCAATGCCTTGTAATATCAGGTGATCTGTCAAACAGACTGTCTACAACCTTAGCAACATTGGAGATCAATTCTAGTGTTGCTTCATAGATAGCATCAGTCTTGGTATCATTAAAAATAATGAGGCATCCAGCACCTTGATCAAGAGTCCCTGCAAATTTTTTATCCAAAATCATTTGAGACAATTTACGCTCCACATGATCAACGGGAAGCTCGATCAATTCTGCAATGTGGGAGACCTCAACTTTTAAAAATGGTTCAATCAATCTGCAAAGGTTCTGCTCTCCACATGATCAACGGGAAGCTCGATCAATTCTGCAATGTGGGAGACCTCAACTTTTAAAAATGGTTCAATCAATCTGCAAGGTTCTGCTGTAATAGAGTACCATTAAGAGACAATAAGTGCCTGCAAATAATAGGATCTTCTCCTAATTGAGCCTTGAAGTTCTCCAATGAAGCCTCAAAGAGTTTCAGAGAACGGTTTGAATAGGCATCAGCAATAGCTTTTATCGCATCAAGATCTGGGCCCAAGTATCGTAGGCCTGCTTTGGAAGATATTATTTCAGCAACATCATCAGCTTGATTCACCATCACTTTGCACAAGAGCATGTATTTCATACTGTAGACCGCTCTGGGATCCTCAAGAGGATCAAAGGCCTCAAAAGCTTCATAAAAGTAGCTATAGGCAGTTTTATAGTCTTTCTTCTCAGCATGGAGTATTCCACTCTGAAGGTCTATGGTCCCTTGTTGAGCCGGAGGCACATATATGGCATTGGCTGCTGTTCAAGCTGCAGTAAGCGCTGCCTTAGCCTTGGGAGATTTCTCAAAGAAAAATGAAGCTTGTTCTCGAGCAACTCAATATCTACCAAGAGAAGTTTGTCATCTAGTCTTCTGACCTCCTTTATCAGATTTGAGAGGAGAGACAGTGCTTCAGTATACTCTTTGATCTCCATCAACAGAGCAGCAAGTCTGGCCTCAACACGCTGACGAATGAAAGTTTGTTTATCAGCATGGGTCCACTGTACCATTTCTCTGCAAAGAGAGATCTGGAGTTCAGTTGTACCAGGTACTTTAACCACTGCATCAATTATTCCCCGTCAAGTTTTGCAGTTTTAGCTTTGGGGATCAAAGTGAAGTAGGGCCTCAATTGGGTCAGAAGGGTCCCAAGGTTCTCAGCCTTGATTTCTTGCGTCAGAAATTCAGTGAGCTTTGTAATTGCCTGTTCCTTTATGCGCAAGTTATCAGGCGAAGAAGAAGGATCCTCAAGCACTCTATGTAGGATTGCAATAGACTCTTCTACACTCTTTGCTTCCAAAGCCAGCGCAAGGGAGTCAGTAATAGCAGGTAGATGAGTGATCATTGCAGTTTAGGACAGCCAAAATAATCCTATGACACCAATAAAGAAGCAATTTGTATGACCTTGTTTCACATTCCTTCACACTTCTAATATTATGACAATAAACCTGCCCCTTCCTCCCCTCAAGGAATATAATGGCAGAAGGGTGCTTGAGCTAAAAGCGCAGTACATTGTGGAGCTTCTGTTGGACAAATAAGTTAAGTTATATTATTGTCCTCTATAAAATTAAAGCCACTTCAAGAAATATACAGAGCCAAAGCATGAAGCTAAGCAGCACAGCAATGGCTAACCTAATGTACTTTTTCATGCCTCAATAGATAAATAATACGAAGTAATAACAGCACAGAAATGACAGTTTCCAAAAACTAGGTAGCAGGCAGAACAATGTCATTCAAATAACATAATGCCAATTTATCTACTAAACATTGTTGGACTTGTCAGAAAAACAAAGTATGAACTGGAAATTGAATCAACCAAAAATAAACAGTACCAGACTAACAGCACAATTTAATGTTTGATTTGCAGATAGGTCAAAGCAGCAGCAAACGATTTTGAAATTAGCATACCCAAATACATAACATATTAACATTCAATAAAAATTAAACTAGAGTTTTAAATCTTTTGCAAAAAAACAAGTCAAATAACACATCATCACCAAAAACCAGTAGAAAGAAGTTCTTTTCAATGAGAGTGAGGTCAATTCAATTGATACCCCATACCACTCCTATTTTGCAAGCGCAATTTTAACATAGCTCATACTGATAGACCATTTTCACATTTCCACAGCAGGTTCTCAATCGAATCACCCCACCACAACATTCATAGCTCCAATGCTCACAACAATCGCGAATTCAGGATACTAGTTCTACAACTAATCCTCAATTGAATCAACCAGCCACAATGTTCATAACTCCAACACGCACAACAATCACGATACTAGTTCTACAACTATTTGTCAATTGCTATCACCCCACCACAACATTCACAACTCCAATTCGCACAACAATCATGAATCATGATACTAGTTCTACAACTAATCATCAATTGAATCAACCAGCCACAATATTCATAACTCCAACACGCACAACAATCACGATACTAGTTCTACAACTATCTCTCAATTGAATCACCATACTACAACATTCACAACATTAATTCGCACAACAATCATGATACTAGTTCTACAACTAATTGCATCAACATAACATATGCACAAATAGTTCAAGAAAAAATTCACCCAAATACAACTAATCAGGTTACTAACATAATAATTGAACAATTACACAAATCAAACCAAATTTAAAATACTTCATTCAAACAATTACTCCCTAAAATAAAAATTCCATAATATAATTATGAGGAAAGAAAAATGCCCTAGATCATCATTAACAAGAAATTACATCGAAATCGCCCAGAAATTAAGCCGAATACTAAAAACATAACGTTAATAATTGCTTCTTTATTAGATTTTACGAAAATGTGAGGGAGATAGGTTAGCGTATTTACTCAATGGCTGAAGAGAGCGCCGGGAAACCGCCGTCCGGGAGGAGTAAATGTACCGGCGTGAGTGAGGAGGAGAGAACGAATTTCTGTATGGAAAATTCTTAGGCTTGTATAAGAAGCTAAAACCATACAAAGCTTGTCGTAGCGGGAAACTATACGTCTCACAATCGAGAGGTTGCGGATCAAACTCCACTAGAGACATTTACAGTGAGAATTCTCTTATCTTTGCCCCAGTCTTAAACCCAAAGTGCCTAGCCGATTAAAAATGTATATGAAGCTAAAATGATAAAGTATTAATGAAATATGGAGTATATACATTAATTAAATTGATGTGCAATTTTTTCTTTTCTTTTTTTTTTTTTTTTTTTTTGAAGTAATATTTTGCTCATGGTATAACTTTTTATTTTGTGCATCCTAATTAAATCGGGTTTTCCAATTAACCACCTGCGTTATTGTTGCTATAAGGTGAGAGAATTTCTGGTAAAGCTATAATATCAAGCGATACAACGGTCTTTATACAAAAAGGGGGAAATAGTGGGGTTTTTTTAAATTTGTTGTTAAAAAATAAAAATTAATTTGTAGTTTTAATTGGCTGGAAGGGAGGGTATTATACGGTTTATACCATATGATATACACCACAGTTGTAGGTAATTTTTTTTGTTGTCTTGAGGTAAGGTTCCATGTAAAATACCTAAAATGCTCTTAATCTTTACTTGTTTCTTAGAATGATTGGTGTATAACTGCATCTATATTTAGAAAATTTAAAGCATACATCACGTGTACATAGTAACATAGGTTATCAAAAAGACATGTCAAATATAAAATTCCCATGCCCACACAAACATATCAAACCAGTTGCAGATGTCCCAACTCCTTAGCAAGTTTTATCAGTAAAGCGGAATTATAACAATTTATACTCTTGAAAATTATAACAAGATTACATCAAATGTTAGATAATTCACAACCCTCTAATGAGATAAGGAGAGTTCAAAAATTATAAATCTTCTATTTCTTCTAGGGATGAAAAACGAGAATCCATGCGATTCAAAGCATCCTGATCAATTTCAGTAGTTCTCACCAGCTTTAAAGAAACGTCATATTCTTGTGCAGAAGGCAATTTGTTATGGATGATCTGGTCCTCCAATACCTCAAAATTCTCGGTTTTCTTTCCCGAGCTTAATTTTTGTTGACCTGTAATTTTGGACTTCAACTGGATACAGTGCTTCAAATCCTCCTCATTTCTAGCTTTATCTAACTTGAAGTTCAATTCATTCAAGGGCGAGGTCTTCCCAGACCACCAATTTTTAGCTACTTTTGGGGCTGGATCATCTTCATTGTCTAAGTTGCTAGGAACGTCAATTGAATTACACGTCTGTAGCTTTTCTAATCCCTGATCTATTGTCTGCCGAATCCTCTTCCTGAACGCATCAATTCTAACAGGATTGGATCTAAGCATTACCTTGGTCTCTGAAATAATCTCCATTCTCTCACCAGAAGTTGTGGGAGGATTTGACACCATGGAACCATTTTCATCTGGCCTCTCGGAATTAACATTGAATACCTCTTTTAGTAAACTGATATTCTGCATGTATCTATCAAAAGCTACATTTTCTGCTTCAATGTTTCCCTCTTTATATTCTTTTAACTTGGCAAATCTCCATTCATTTGTAATCAACGCCTCCTGAAATTTCCACATTAAAGTTCAGCTGTTCAGAATACACACATGTATGATACAATCACATTAACATGGATTAACATAAGACCAGCACCTTTCTAGTTGGTGGTTTCCTTGACCGGACTGGAATATGCACATTGTTGAATTGTGAGAAAGTGCTAGAAAGCTGTCGAAGTGAAGCTGCTTTCGACTGAGGCCTGGGACCAACCAAATGCAGATACGATAAATGCAAAAGAATAGAAGACAGTCTCCTCCAAATTTAGATACATGTTTCTCTTTAAAAAAAAAAATAAAAAAAAATAAAAAAAAAAAAAACAAAGTTGATGAGATTATGGGAAAAAATGGGAAAAAATTGAATGCAATGCAAAGATCAAGAAAAGTATTTGGGATGATGCATGTAATTGCATCGTATTTCATAAGCTACAACTAGGTCCTAGATCAATGTCAACAATTCCATCTCAAGCTGACACCTGAAATTTTTATCCAATTTGAAAAAATGTTCTATAAGCAAAAAAAATGCAATACCCGGGAGCTGCCGCTTCATTAGGCTGCTGCTCAGGTACAGTGGAGTTTGGAGAAGCTCCTCCCCTATCTGCTAGTGTGGAATTTGGCTTTAAAACTGCAGATAGAGCCCAGAATTAATGGTAAAATCCACAATTTTCTGTGCATAAAGGTTTAAGAGGAATCTATAATCAATCTACTTGTTCTTCAAACTTATTCGTTACGAATTTGTAAAGCAACAAACTGAGCTCTGATCATGGAGTCCATTGAAATAAATCATATGAGCAAACAGTAATCATTTTCCAGTCTCACAACTTTCTTTTCCAGGAACACCTTCACATTGAAATAAGAATTGCAACTAATAAAATTAGAAAAATACCATGTATATGACAAGGATTCTGGGCTTTAGAACAGCAACTTTTACAAGACTGGTAAGGACACCTGTATTAAATAATAATAATAAATTAATACAACAGAAGACACGAATTCACAAAGCTATCCAAGGACATGTAACAATCAAAGAATGGTATGGATTTTACTGACAATATACAAGGACATGTAACAATCCAAGGACCGGATTTTACTGACAATATGCATCAGAAATTCAGAAAACCCTGTAAACACACACCTGTCTTCTAGCATAAAACAAGATGCATTTGCACAAGTATAATAAGTTTTAAACTACGAAAAACTATGTGAAGGTCATGAAACTTCAAAATTTCAAAATATGCCGGAAATCCTAAGATTGAAAGAACTATACCTGTATAATTCATTTTTTGAGCTGCCTTAGCCCGTGATACACACTGGAAAAAGTATTCCTTACCCAAATAAATCAGTAGATTTTAGATGGGGCATTTGGTTCAATGATTTAGATATTAGAGAAGGATTTGGAGCCTCATTCAAACCCGTTTCTCATATATGGTTCAGAATTTAACTAATATCAAACCTGAAGGATTCATCCTCCAAACCCCCAAAGTTGCTCTCCTTCTTTCCTCATCCACCATCATCATCGTATTTACCAGCACTGCCCCTTACACCATGCACAATTATGAAACAACCTCAGCCATAACCAAAATCATCATCACCTGCTCCATGTATCCCTCCCCTGACCATTGCTACCCTTACCATTGCCACTGCTAGAACTGCTGCTAATAGATTGAATCTACCCCTTAGACAGTCATATTTAGTTTACCGCTAAACTTCCAATTTCACAAGATCAGGGAGCAGGAAGGAAAGTGAGAATTCATGTAGAAATGTGATAAAGGGGAGGTAATTACATTGCAAGAACTTTGCACCAATTACATTCCAGATTTGGTACTTTGAATGCAGGACATGGTGGAGACATGAGGCGGCAGGAATGAAGCAACAAATGGAGAGAAAGTTGAAGGTGAAGAGAGGATGGGGAAGAGAAGAAAAGTGGAAGGGAGGGCTTTGGAGAGGAAATCGAGGGTGATTATGCAATGAGAATTGGAATGTAGGGTTATTTCCAACCAAACATTTGGCTTTAAGTAATGTTTTTCAATCATTCAGGTATACTTTAGGTTTAAACCCATAGGCTATAGCTATCCTCATAGGACCAGAAAGTTAAACAAATGTCCACTTAGGATGTTGATATCCAGTTTTCAACCCCCACTTTACAAATGGAAAGAAAGTAATTAACTCGTAAGAAGATTTCTTATACTCCAGCACAAGTTACATTCTTAGCCTCCTACAAGAGCATTTGGAGTTATCCCCATCACTGATATCACAGTAATCTGGACTAACTGGTAATTAGTCATTAATATATTCAAATGGGTTATCCTTTTAAGATTGCACACTCGATCCCTATTAAAGAAAAAAAATCAAACATAATGAAATGGAGAAAGTAGGAAATATAATTGCCTAAAGAAATTTGCAATAGCCATTGGCCTTACCAATCAATCACACCTAAGCCTAGAAGCGATCATCACAGATGAGGATGCAGATTAGGATGTGCAATCACATCGATAATAAATGGTGTGAATAAGGATTGAGGTTAGAGTAACATTATATTGATGGCTAGATGAAAGAAACAAGATATAAATGTTTATGTTAGAAGGTGGCATCTCGATGCATCACAGAGGATATGAGAGGTCATATTAAGGGCTGGCAGAAAGGATGACATAGACCCGGGGATACCTAGGAAAAAGTTACAAGGCTCTAGATTTCAGGACACTAGAACATAGACCTTCGAAGGAAATAATTTTCTGCCAAGATTTAGGTAGCTAACACCGGGCAAGATCTTCTCGAATATACATCAAACCTCTACCCCATGCATGCAAGGCTTGTTGGAAAGCTATGAATCTATGATATGCTTGCTAATTTAGCCCAAAGCTAAGTAGCAAGAACACTTACCTTCACAAAATCACACCCCTTTAAGTTGCCCCATTTTCACATTGAGAAAAAATCACCCCAATCGGACAAATCGAAAACATGTACAAGAACCATCTATCCAAACTACAACCAAAGCACTTGCAAATTGAAGTTGTATAATAAAAAATACAACCAATTATCCAACAAACCACAACTACATGTCATGTAAATGATGTAATACATCTAAATGATCTCTAATGCATCCAACATCAATTCACTTATACAATATCACCGCGATATGTAATACGAATATAGCATCATTACACTATTAAAAGACACTTGTATCATTGTAAAGTTATAGGCCATTTTACATCACATACTCCGTATACATTATTATACAAAATTACCACTTTACAATACTTGTGCAAATTTAACCAAATCTAACAAAATTTTAATGTGTAAAATTTGCTACTCCAAAAACTGCTTTGATTTATTTATGCTCAATAATTCAGCATCAATCAATAAATTCATCAAAAACAAGAGCAATGCTACGAATATATCACTCGCAAACAAACAAATTCAGCAATTCCAAAGTAAACATCTTAGAGAGAGAAACTCACCTAGACCTAGCGACATTTCCACACTTAATACACTTTGGTTTATTGAGACCCCGAAGATTCTTGGGCGGGTCGGGTCTATGCAACGTAATCGTCGGAAGTCCGGGACTTTTCGCGGCGGACGGCGGTGTCGCTGACGGCGGCGGAGGAGTTGCGATACCGTTATTACCACTCGTTTCAGAGCCATTATTGCTAAGAACTGGCGATGAAGTTGCTGCCGCCATTGTTGATGCTGAGATTTCCAAAGTAGATGGAATAATTTCAAAAAAAATGAAAAAATTAAGGGAAAAATTGCAGAAATTGAGAAGAAGAGAGAGAATTAGAAACCCTAGCGAATTGAAGGCATGAAATCTGAAGAAATTGGGGGTGATTGATAGTCGTTGAGTGTTGAAAGTTTGGAGGGAAATTGATTGAAATTTGCTTCTCCCTCTGAATTTTTTTACACAAGTTCAAATTCTCAGCGCCTCTTCTTCCTCTTTCGTCTTCTTTTTTTTTTTTTTTTCTGAGTTAGTAATATTTCCATTCACCTGGTACTAGTATTGAGGTATTAACGTATTTGTTATTGTATACAAATTTGAAAAGGACAATAATGCCCTCGTGTTGAAATTTTTTATGGACAATGGTCAAAATTGCACACTTTTTGTTGGTTCGTACTTCGTATTATCGCTAGTTTGTGTTTAAGTGAGGAAGTTCTTTGTAGAGGGGAAGTCCTGTTCGGTAATTAGCGGGTTTTTGCCTTTTTGGTTGTTAAAGTCGGTTTACATTCTATATAAGAAAAGAATTTAGTTAGTTAAATTGGTTGATTTGACTATCGGATTGCATCAAATGTTTAAGTCACATTACTGTTTGTAAGTAGAAAATTAATTAATAGTTTTACTTTTTTTGACGGGATTTTTTTTTTTGACGGGGATTAATAGTTTAACTTAGTTTACATAAGTTATTATACACACATATCAATGCATAAATTATACTCCGTACAAAGTACCATGAGTATTTGGATGTAGAGTATAAGTCATGTTTGGTTTTTGGCGGGTTGTTGTTAAAAAGTTAGTTGCATTTCATATACGTAGTAGAAAAAAATAGTTGGTTGCGTGGGTTGGTTTGACCAACGGATTTCATTAATAGGTTTGACTAATGAATTTTGCGATAAATGTTTTAACGATCTAGTTATATTATTTGTTAGAATTTTGTTTTATAAAATAAGTTGATAATTTGACATAATTGATATAGTTTGACCACACACATGTCAACGCATAAAATTAGAAAGTGAATATTTAAAAATATACCTTAGTAAAAAGAATTTGAAATTAATATTAATACGGAGTATTAATTTAACGATATTTTACGTCATAACAATTGAAAAATTTATATTAGTATAAAAATATAATACCGTCAGAGTTAATAGATAAATAGAGTAAAATGTTGTACGTTATTTGAACTTGTATTGTTCTTGTACAATGTCTATTAGTGGGATAGGGTAATCATTATAGTGGTATAAACTAGGGTGAGCATGGGACGGGTACCCGTACCATTAGTACTAACAGTTCGGGTACCCGATAACCAATATCACTAAAAGTGATATCCATAAACCGAACCGATAAGTTTGAGTACCCGGATTTTCGGAACGGTTATCGGGTACCCAATAAACTATCCAATAGTGATCATTAACCTTAATAAATGAGTTATTATGATATATTTTAACACTAATTAATAACTATACCACATGATCTTGACCAAATTATTAATTATAGTACTAATTATTGATATTATATAGTGATTATGAAGTAAAGTAAGAGTTTAGATTTTGGAAAAAATAGATTTAAGTAGGATAAAAAAACAAAAAATTGTTTATCGGTTCGGAACGGGTAACCGTTAATTTTAAAATGATACCCAATAACCATACCCGATAACAAATTATCGGAACGGATACCCGAACCATTATGGTTATCGGATCAGCTACCCTAATTTTCAGAACGGTAACGAAACGAGTTTTCGGATTTTCGCTTTTTCGGGTAATTTTGCTCAGCCCTAGTATAACCGTTTAGCTTTATAACACTATTGCATTGTCATTTGGTTAATTTTTACATCTAACTAACTTTAAAAGCTCTTTTCAACTTTATCGATTAAAGGATTCAGCACAACCAACCCATAGAACACAACCTTTCAAACAATTAAAATAATGGATTAATAAAGTGAATTGGTTGAATGACCCCCTTTTTTTCTTTTTATTTTTTTTTGCCAAAACTCACTTTGCCAAACAAAGCCACAACCAAAGTTAATTTTTGTTTTTCTCATGTGCTCACATGGTAAAAGCATATGGTTAAAAAATACAAAATTAATTGTAGGATTTTTTTATAGTATTTAGGGTCTGTTCTCATTGGCTGAATTCAGCTGAACTGAACTGAATTGAATTGAGCTGAACTGAACTGAGCTGAACTGAACTGAACTGAATATTTTACAAGAGAAGAAAATTAGGAGTTGAGCTGAACTAAACTAAACTAAACTGAACTGAACTGAACTAAGCTGAACTGAACTGAGTTGAACTGGACTGAACTAAACTGAACTGAATTTCAATGTGATAGAACATGCCCTTACTACCTAAAAAAAACCCAGTTTTTATTTAACCACCTAACTTAATTTCTATTTTAAATTACCACTTTTTTCTTTTTACTTTTAAAAAAAAACACTATAATTTCACACATGTTTCCTGATTTCGGTGAGGATTCTTGCCAAAAATTCAATTTTCACTTCTTTTCCAACGAATTTCACTCTCATTGACTATACTCAATATATTCTAACCTCCATTTATAGGAAAAAAAATCACAAGAAAAAGTGTTTAAAAAGGTCAACTAATCGTTATGTGAGCCCATAATCACATTCCTTGCTACACTCAGACATTTGGTGGCAAAATCAAAAGTTTTTTCTTCTAATTAGATGGTAAGATATAGAGGGAGGGATAGCTCAACTGGTTAGAGCTCTCCCCTCGTTTTCACATGATCTTAGGATCGATTCTCGTCACTTACCCCTGTGGCTCTCTAAACATAAAAAAATAAAAAAAAAAGGTAAGATAAAATAAATTTACCCTAAACTACTTGAGTTTTTTTAAGTGGTAAAAAAAAAAAAAAAAATGGAGGCATGATCTCCGAAGTTCTTTAATTGCAATGTTCGGAGTATTAGTTATACAACCTATGTTCGTCAAATATTTCACCCATTTCCCCACTTTTTTTTTTCTTTTCTTCCTCATCCTTCATTCCTTCCTTCTTGCTTTCTCAATGTAATAGAGGTAGTTATTGGGTAGGGTAGCCCAATGATAATAGGGTCAGGTCCAAGCTTATAGGGCTTTTAATGGACCGGACTTTTAATGGACAGGGCCTTTATTGGGCAGGGTCAATATAGGGCCAACATGTTTTTCTAATTTAATTGATAAAGAAAATACATAATGTAAAAATAATTATATAGATAAATTTGTATTCATATGTATATAATAATGACTTTGTCTAATATTTATTTTAATTGATATTTTGTAGGCCCGCCCATTATCGACCCGCTAATGACCCGCGACCCGTATTGACCCGACCCTATATTGACCCTATAAAATGTGACCATCTTTGACCCGACCCGCAATCGACCTGCACCGACCCTGACCCGACCCGCCCAATAACTAGGTCTACAATGTAACAATGACGATTTTTTCACCAAAATCTCTGTCAACAACGACCCAATAACATTGCATACACCAACCCCAATTAACCATTTTTGGCGGCCATTTTTTACGGCGAAGCAACTAGATACCCTAATAGCCAATTATGTGAATAAGGCCCATAACTCCTTAGGGAAAGATGTTTGTTAACCATCTGGTAGTTGGAGCATGTTGTGGGGTGTTGGAGCGGGAAAGCAGGGGTAGTCGTGCAGTGGGGAGTGTTGATAGTGGTGGTCTGGTGGAGTATATCTAAAGGAGATAGACTGAGGGAGAATGGAAAAAAATCATAAAATTACATTATTATCCCTAATTTATTAGTTGAAAAGACAACTTTAAAACATCTAAGGTTTCTCAATTGAGAAACTTATATTTAGCCATTTAAATTTGAGAATGGTGTATACCAAATATCTACTTGTTTCATGCCTACCTTTTTAAATAAGCAATGTTAACCATTGGAGCACTTTGTAGCTATAAAATATATTGAAACAAAGCTAGAGAAGAGAATGTCATCCAAGATTGTATCAAGATCGGGTGAGGAAGATGGAAGCCTTGCATAATTTGTGAACAAGCACCTGAGAGTCCGACTCAACAATGACATTAAGCAGCCCATATTTGCGAGTAAGACGAACAGCCATAGAGATTGCCTTCCCTTCAGCCACGACAACAGGCCAATACGCTCGGAGTCTTCTTGTAGCTGCAAATAAAACATCCCCCTTGCAATCAAGAGAAACTACTCCAAGTCCCACCTAGCCGTCTTCTCGTAACGAGGCATCACAATTTAACTTAATGATACCTGAAAGAGGGGCAAGCCACGTCTTTGAGCTTTTCCTGACCGAGCTTGTAGTCACTCCATATATCTTCTTGGCATAAGTAGTGCAGTCAGCCGTAAGACGAAAAACTCTATCAATGATAATTGGATGGTGCGTGTCATTGTTTTTGAAAATCATTTCATTTCGTCTTCCCCAAATATTCCACAACAAAATTTCTCCCCTGCATTTCTATTCTTCCTCGGTGGAAGGTGTTTGACTGGAAACTATTACATGATGCTCTTCCGATGGCATCTCTTCTGCATTATCGTGGTTATCCGGTTGACCCGATATGTGCCTTTTGCCATCAGGAATGGGAGGAGGAGGTGTTGCACACTTTTAGAGATTGTCCTGCTGTGAGATCTTTATGGTAGTCGGGAGCATTGGGGGTTTGTTGGGATCTTTGGCAGTCCTTCAATTTGGGGATTGGTTGGCTGACACCGTTTCTCAGTTCTATTCTCACAAATTTTGGAAAGGTATTATGTCTTTATTTGCTCTTCTTTGGGCTATTTGGCTTTCCCGAAACCAGTTAAGGTTCAGACATGCGGTTTGGTCGCCTAGGACAATTGAAGGTTTGGCTGAGGATTGGTTCCACCGCTATGTCCAGTTTAAGGAATGAAGAAATCTGTATTGGGGTCCTGCTCGTCTAGTTCGCCTGTGCTTTTAGGTAATCCTTGGTTGTGTTTGAGGGGTTTACCTGGCATATGTACCACGGTTTGTTTGATTGTCGATGGAGCTTGGGATTGCTCCACTTGTAGGGCTGGGGCAGGTTGGGTTATTCGTGACCTTTATTCTTCGGAGATTCTGGGTGGAGGTAGTAGGGATTTTTTTATCTGGATCGACATTATAGTCTGAGCTACAAGCTTGTTTATGGGGACTTTAGGCGGCGGTTCGCAAAGGATTCTTAAAGATTCGGATTCATTCTGATTGTGCGCCCCTTCTCTCTTTGCTTCCGGATTCGAGTCCAATGGACATTTTGGTTTGGTGGCTCACTCTAGAATTGAATGCGGCTATTAAATCTTTTTTGGTGTGTCAAATTCGTAAGGTTCCTCGGTCCTGGGTGTCTCTGGCTCACTGGTTAGCTGGTTACGCTAGGCGACGACAATTGCTGTTTTTTCAGTTTTAGTTTGTTTCTTTCTGTTGCAATGTGTTTTTCTTTGATAGCTCTTTTGTCAAAAAAAAAAAAGCAATGTTAGTGTTTTTTTTTTCTTTTCTCAAATGACATATTTTTTGAAGCGTTCGTATAATATATTGAAATCTCCAACTCTTAGACCCCCATGGAGCAATTGAACTAGCTATAATAGTTGTTTTGAATTAAAGTACAAATCTAATATATATATATATAAAGGGGAGTTTTTTCCCAAGTTTTTAGAGAGCCACATAGGATCTAATTTTCTTAGTGTGCCATATAGGATTATAAATTTTAGTAGTAACCAATTAAATAGGAGATTATTAAAATCTTTTATAATTAAATAATTCAAATGCCACGTAAGCAAAATTGGCGAATAAGATTTTCCAATTTAAATTAATTAAATATAAAATATTATCTTTTGATATTAGGAATTTTATCTAAACATATAACAAATTTTAGCATATAAATATATGTGTAAAAAAATTATTTTAAAAAATTCAAACAAACCGTGCATCGCACGGGCTTCATCTAGTGAGAATTTATTTGTTTCTTAATTAAATTGCTATTAGGAAAT